TGCCCAAGGCGCAGGCATAGGCTACCAGCAAAGTGCCCAAGGCGCAGGCATAGGCTATCAGCAAAGTGCCCAAGGCGCAGGCATAGGCTATCAGCAAGGTGCCCAAGGCGCAGGCATAGGCTATCAGCAAGATGCCCAAGGCGCAGGCATAGGCGAACAAGAAAATGCCCAAGGCGTAGGCGCAGGTCATCCGCAAGGTGCACCAGGTGTAGGCGCAGGCTACCAGCCAGGAGCCCAAGGCGTAGGCACGTGTTACCCGCAAGGTACCTCAGGCGTAGGCGCAGAGGGTATTGTACATGCACCCCAAGGCACAGGCGAAGGTGGCACTGTTGGTGCCAATACAGGTCGTGTGCAAAGGGAAGATGTCGGTGCACAGGCGAGTCCCAATTCCCCGCCGGGTTCTTCAAGAAACCCATTCGAAGCCATGCTTACAGGGATGGTCCAGTTGCAGAATGTGGTTGCTGATTTAGCAGCTAGCAAACAAGGAGGTCACAGTGGTGTTTCCAGTGGAGGACCAGAGGTTGTGCGACCGGGAGTCACGGAGCTGGTGAAGCTTCCTCTCCCAACGTTGGAAGGCGCATTGGGTTTTTCAGACTGGATTCATGCGGTGAAGCCTTCGATGAGTGACCTTTCTGATACTTCTGGTGAGTGTTGGGACAGGGTTTTGCAGGAAGCGCGCGACTGGTACAATAATCACTTTGTGCCGGCGAACCCTATCAATAGGGTGAGATTGAAGGTCCCGGCTTCCAGCATTGACCGGGAATCCCGCTGGTCACGTGTTAGGCACAGGATGGAGCATCTGATTATCCAGAGCTGCCCTGATGTTGTGAAGTCGGAGTTGTCGTCAGCCCGTATCAGTGGCATCATGGGCATTCTTTGCAGACTACATGTGATCTACAAGCCAGGAGGAGTTGCTGAGCGTGCAGAGGCTTTAAGGCAGGTGCAACATCCTCGGGCGGCTGACTCTGCAGTCGACGCCGTTCTTCGCTTAAGGACCTGGAAGCGATGGATGACGAGGCTTTCGGACTTAGGAGGAGCCTCTCCAGATGCGGCCATTTGTGTGCAAGCCTTGGAATCAATTACAGGAGGCGTTCTAAGGTCCTTGCCGGGTTTGTCGTTCAGGGTCAATCTTGTGAGGGCTTCGTTGCATCTTGATACCCAGCCTACGTCAGCCAAAGTGGGCGAGTACTATGAACATCTTTTGGTGGAGCTTGAAGCAGTTTCCAGGATCGCTGACGTACAGCCCGGAAGCCCTAGTGCAACCAAACCTGAGGGCAACAAGGGTGTGAAGCAGGTTGATGCCAAGTCGCCCAGCGCAGCGGATGTTTCCCAGCCTCAGAGAGAACCCAAGGGACCCAAGGCAACTGGTACACCTAGTGGCGGTGATTCACCTAAGAAGTTGTGCAAGTGGTTTCATGAAGGAAAAGGGTGTAAGAGGGGGAAAGACTGCAGGTTCTTGCATGATTGGAACCAGATTCCAAAGCCAGACCGGCTTGAGCGTTGTATGGCATGCGGCGGCAAGGGGCACAGAAAAGATGCTTGCACCAACAGCCCGGCTTCTGCCAAGCGAGATGATGGAGCGAGTTCCGTGAAGGCAGCAAAGGCTGAGGCTCCACAAAGAGCAAAGGGCCAGGACCCAGGGCTAAAAAAGGTGCTTTCAGAAGCTGCTGGGGTGCTAAGAGAGGTGCTTTCAAGTCAGGCAACGTCTGGGGACAGCACGACTTCGGGCCATGCAGACCAACACCAGCGAGCGGCCAACACCGCAGCAGGCGATCCAAGTGGAAGTGGTGGCTCTGAGTCGCCGATAGCAGCAGCTGCGAAGATTCAAGCTCAGCTTGAAAGCTTGGAGTCTCAGATTCTTGATGGGAGGCCGCATATCAGGGCGGTAAGTTGTGTTTATCAGGAACTCCAAGAGCCCACTGCTTTGCTTGATTCGGGAGCGACGCATGCGGTTCTTGATGCGTCGTCAGTAGAAAGGTCGAGCTTGGTTCCGTGTACGGTGTCGCTTGCTGGTGACCAACGTCAAACATGGCACCAAACACCGGGAGGGTCACTTGTAGCACCCGGGAATGGTGATGGAGCAGTGACACAGACAATCTTGCCCCTGGGTTGTTTGATAGAGCAACTCGGCTGCTCGGTGCGATGGTCACGCAAGGGAGGACTCCAGTTGTTCCATCCTCGACTGGGTCGGCTCCGCACCAGTTTGAGAAGCGGATGCCCGCAGCTAGGACGTGAGCAGGCGCTGCAGCTCATACGCGAGCTTGAGGCCGCGAAGCTTCAGGAGCTATCAGGGAGGCTTAGGCGAGTGCAAGCACAACTCAAGGCGACCACAGGCCTGCGTTTTGATGACGCATTGGACGCCTTAGTTGCCGGTGGCTCCTACGAAGCAGCGCTGGCATTTTCGAGCTTTGTGCCGTTCTTGGGTGCAGTTCCGAAGCAGGTCACGTGCCGGTTGATTGTTGACTTGCAAAGCATCAATGGGTGGGAAGCGCTCAAAGGTTTGCCGTTCAACCGAAGGACCAGGAAGAGGTTGCATCAGTCATGTGCGTGGGTGTTGCACCTAGGATCAAACCAGGTTGATCCCTCATTGAAGCAGCTCTGCCAGGCCCAGGGTTTGGAGTTGGTTGTATTGGAGGGCAATCGTGATGGTCTCCTGGACCCTCGTGTCTGGAAGGCGCTGTCCTGGGCGGCATTCTCAGGACGAGTTACAGCTGTTGTCGGGGATTCACCAATGAGGACCTGGAATGCGATACAGACCAATGACTCAACGTCTATTCGGCTCCGCAGTGAATCGCACCCGTGGGGTGAACCAGGCCTCACTTCCAGCTTGCAGACAAGGGTTGAAGATGATACTCTGTTGGGAGTTATGCCGATGTGGTTGTGGACCTTAGCATCCATTGCCAAGAAGGAGGGTGTTCCTTTCTGCCAAACATGTGCGTTACAAGGGTCTTCGGGTCTTAATCCGTGGCTTCAGCAAGTTGTGAAACCCTTTGTCGCGTGGAGTAACAGCAGTGAGTTTGTGGTGCAAGGGGTGAATGAAGGTGTCCGACACACCAAGCCCTTTTGGGTGTGTACCAACCTTGGTTTCGCGCGATCTGGCGTGAGAGCCCTCCCTGCTGCAACAAAGGTTGAAGGTCTTCCTCTCGACCCTGCATGGCCAGTTGACTTCAAAAATGAGCTCAGTTTGGCTTTGTTTGGGTTGGCAACTCCACAGCGAGCTGAGGAGGAGCCCACCGCAGTGAAGGTTGTGGAGGCTTCGGAGTCGTTCTTGTTGTCGGATCCAACCAGGCCGCCAGGTCCAGTGTCATTCAGACCTCCTGCACCGGAAGTCCAGGCTGTGGAAAGCGGTCACACTAGGGAAAGCGAGTCAGTGAAGCCCACCTGTGTTTCAGAAGAGCAGCAGCTTCTAAGAGCTGTAGATGAGGATCAGCGCGCTGAGGGTGACTCAGGTCCCGGTGGTGATGTGTCATCTGGATTGCCAGGTGCTGCTAAGGGCCCCAAGGCAGGGGGTAAGCGTGCAGCAGGTCGCATGACAGAGGCTGAACGTGAAAGGTGGCGTAAACACATCGCCTCCCATCATATCCCATTCAGAAAGGATTGTCTCCAGTGCGTGATGTCTGGAGGTTTGGGCTTACAGCACCGTCGGGTCAAATGCCCAACCATGTACGCATTGGCGTTTGATCTAGCCGGGCCCTTCAAGGAGCTTGGCAGGGATGATCGTGGGGGAAAATACAAGTACGTGCTTGTGGCAGGTCTTCGTGTTCCAGACGCTGCATTGCCTTCACCAAGGGATGACAAGGTTGATCCAAAGGTTGAGGCGCAGGTGCCAGGTGCCCAGGTTGAGGTAAGGAATGCCGATGAGCATGATGATGATGCTGCGTCGGAAGCCAGTTGGCTGAGGGAACAGCTAGAACCAAAGCCCTCAGTGATGAGGGTTGGCGAGGAGAATGACTCTTCTCAGGAGGAGGACGCCCAGTCTGACGCAAGCTGGTTCGAAGCACCGTTTGTAGACGAA